ACTTGTTGTGTGGTGGCTTTGGTTCTACCAATCCTCTAATGAGTTCCAAATGCAAGCTTCAAGATGGTCATCCAACTAACCACTAATTATTGACTTGTCTTACCTTATGGTTTTATTCTTTTTTATGCCTTATGTACCATTTACTTTTAGCATTTGAATTTCATGCCATTTTCATCTTTTCTCATTTGAGCATTTACTTTCTTTCCATTTTTACTTTGCTCGCATAAGCTTTTCTTTTCCTTTCTTAAGATACTTAATAATCAACATAAACCCTAAAAAATATTTAATGGTATTTGGACTATTTGGTTACTATCCTTGGCATTATGGAGCATGGGACTTTTTCTTGGACTTGGGATTAGAAACCTTGGCCCATCTTGGAGACCTTGTGATCTTATCTGATTATTTTGTCTGGAGTTCTTGAGGTTTACCTCAAGACATTGGGTTATTTGTTTGTTTTTGTGTGCAGGTTTTTGTGATTACACCCTTTGTTTGTAATCTGGAATTCGCCCGTATACAGCCGTTACTCTGCCCAATTTTTATGAAGACTTAATACACTTGAAGTTTGGTTCTCTCAATAGGTCTAGTATTTCTTTGCTTGATTGGTTCCAATCCAAGGAATGAGAATTCTGTCTTGGCTCATAATGTCAAGTTTTGGCTTCTTGTTGGTTAGATGGTTCTTATCTCTAGCTTTTACCTTATGCTTTAGGATAGTCCCTTCTTCTCCTCCCATCTTCTTTAATTTCAAAAATATTCTTCCTCCTTTTGAAAACTCTTCTTGTTTTAAATTGGAACCATTTTCATAATAAACTTGGACTTATGTGCATGCATTTTCAAAACATTTTCATAAATAAACTCCAATCAACTTAATAATACCTTGACATTTTTTTTGTGAGAAGACTAAAAGTCAATCAATCTCATTTCAAACCATTTTGCCACTTTGGCTTTTTACCTTTAAAACTTTTCTTAAAAGATTAAACTCTTGTCAATCCTTGTAGTGATGCAAACGACTATACTTCTATACTATATAGTGAAGAGAGATATTTTCCACTTGGGTGTTGAGTGAGGCATTGTTGATTTTGAAATCCAAGCCATATCCTCCACTTTGAGATGATGCAAATTCTCCTTTCTCATGATTGTGGGTAGTAGGTGTGTTTTCCACACGGACAATGATGATGATGTTTTATCTTATAAAATTAACCAACACATTTGGGTTTTAAATTTTTGAAAGAGGAACTACGTGTACCCTGATCCCCTAGGAACTAAAGGTTCGCAACCGCGGCGGGTGCAAAAATTATAAAATAAATATATTTCTTTTCTCACCTCCACCATCCATTTTTTATACAACATTTTTTATATCCAAAATATAAAGATTTTACAAAGAGGCTCCTGCGGAATACTGTAGATGTTTAGGGTGCTAATATCTTCCCTTTGCATAACCAAACCCCTTACCTTGAATCTTTCCCCCTCTTTTTTGAGTTATTCTCTCTTTTCCCATTTCTTTGGAAACAATAAAGCGCGGTGACGATTTTTATTTTGATTTGTATAAAGTCTAGTCAATCCAATGGCTTAGTCTTGAACATTTCTACCGCTACAGTAATAATCTTGAATACTGATCTCTTTAACAAGTTCATATCCTTCAATTACCAACCCTTTATATTATCTTCCCCTAAGTTCTTAGTGGGGAAAAAATTAACCACCAATCCTAAATTCTAAGTCCTTAGAGATATATGATGGAGTCAAGCCTTTATTTTATCAAGGGTTAAATCTGGTAACTATAGGGTATCCCTAGTCCTAGGTGATGTCTACTATAGCCTAATTATACAAAAACCTTAACAACCGCGGTCCTGCTGGTTGTTAACCGTAAACCAATCCTAATTTGTTCGATCAGGAAGGAATATAAACATTGTACAATTAAATCGAATAGATAAGACTTTATTAAAGAACTCAGGAATTCATAATCATTACAGATTCAACTTATAGACACCCCCTAGCATTGGGGGGGGGGGGGGTTTAGATACTCATATTGTTTAAAATAATCACAAGACAAAATATAGACATTACAAGGATTGGGATGAAAATCTCCATCTCTCTGAAAACCTTGACTTCTCTAATCTTCAGTCGTGTAAAATGTTCTTCGCTGCCAAAAAGCTCCTTTATTCCTTGTGAAAAATCATTTAAATAGTCACCATTCATCCAGGTCGGTTGGAAGTACCCAAAAGGCCCTCACAACTTAACATATGAAAAAGTATGAAAAAAAATCAGGAAATCAACGTCATATGCCGACACGGGCCGTGTCACCTGACACGGGCACCCGTGTCATTCTATGTCCATTGCACCAATAACTCTCTCGCCAAGACCTTCTAACACGGGTCGTGTCAGCTGACACGGGCACCTGTGTCAGCCTTTTCCTCTTCTCCCAAACTTGCCTGCTGAGCCTCCTCTCCTGACACGGCCCATGGCCGCTATTGGGCGATATTGGCCGCTTCCTTCTCCTCGTACTGTATGTACGCATGGGCCTTTAGGAGAAGGGAATCTAGCGTGGTTGTTGTTTCTATGCCCATCGCCTTGGCAAAGTCGCTGCAGGGACGGAGCCCGTACTCGAGTAGGTATTTCATCATATTGTCCGTTGTCGGGACCTGGACCGCTTCTTTGTTGAAACATTCAATGTATTCCCGCAGAGATTTGTCCCTGTCCTGTATGACCGCTTCGAGCGAAGCTTCTGATTTAGGGTGTCGGCAGGAGGCAGTGAAATTCCTTAAAAACAATCTCCCGAGTTGTTTCCATGTGGTGATGAATTTGTCGGGTAAGCTTTTGTACCATACCATCGCCCCCTTCCTGAGAGTGGTCGGGAAGAGTCTGCGCTTGATGGTGCCTCTGACCCCTCTGTAGTCGAGGAGCGCATCGATGTTCTCGATGTGATCGTCAGGATCTATCATGCCGTCATAGGTCCCTAGAGGGAGCGGCTGTACTAGGCCAACAGGGAGTGGAGCTTCGGTGATCTCCCTCGATAGTGGGTCATGGGGCTCGTCATCTTCACTTTTGACGGGAGATGGAGAAGGAGAGTGATATTTTCTCCCCCGTCCGTCGTAACGGTCCCGTCGGGGGGAGGGGCTCCTTCATTTTTTCTTTGGCTCGGGAGAGGGAAATCGAGCACGGTCGATCTTCCTGTTGTCCCTCCTCTTCTTTAATAAAGGAGAGTCTTGATCTCGGGCAGGAGGTGTGCGGTTGCGTTTCTTGAAGAAAGAAACACCGCGCCTTTCCTTTTTGGGCGGTGGACTACGCCTGAGTGGTGATGAACTGGGGGAGTTTCGTCTCCGGGCTCTCCGAGGAGGAGATCTTGAGCGTCTGTTCTCCAAGGCCCCTATCCTTTGATTTTTTTAAAGGATGAGGGCGTTGGTCTGATTAAGGCAGCGATCAGTGCTGCCATGGCCGAGTCGGCATTGAGAGGGATATGAACCAGTTGTAAGATTTCTGGTAGTTCCTCAGCAGGATTCTTGGAATGTCCTTTATCCAAGAGTTGGTCGTCACTACACCGGGCATCAGCGGAATCAGGGGATGCGTCACGGAAGCCCAGGTTGTCCTCAAGGTGAGGGTGTTCTTGGCTTTTATCAGTCTTGCGAGCGGGGGAAAGGATGGTCTTTCGGGGCATGAAAAGATCATTATGATCTTCCATGATAAGAGAGATGGATCTTGAGAGAAGAGTTGCATTGATCTTAGGTTCCAAGGGAAGAAAGACGGGGATAGAAAATTCCCACGGACAGCGCCACTGATCTCGCGGTTGATCAGAACCTGGAGAGTGGCCGAATGATGATCTTCAGTCGGGTTGAAGAGGGAGGGGGTTATACCTGTAAGGTACTCCAACGATCAAGTAAGAGTGGGAGCAAGAAGGTACTAGCAAAATATCAGGTAGTGAGTAGTGAGTATGTGATACCTGGCCCTCACAGGTGTGAGGGTTTATATACTGCCCCTGGCGCATGACCATTGGTTCCTGATTTCCTACCTAGATATGCGGGTCCGAAAAATCAGGTAACTGCCAGGACTTGGTCAAACCGGGAAGATGTACTCGTAACTAGCCGTTGGTTCCAGGGAGGAGGCTGGTTGCGGACATCTCTCTGGTCGGTCCCTGGTGGTCTGCACGACGCTGGTGTCGGGCAGGCTGAGGAGACGCTCGATAGGCATCTTGGATCAACACTGGACCAGAAGGGCAAGAGGGTGATATTGCCCGACAGGTGCGGACAGTCTGAGTCATGGTCAGTGGGTGACACCTATGAGATGTCTTAGACTGAGCCCACTCAAGCTTTCAGACCATTCCATAACAGTCTCCAACTTAACTTTTATCTCGTCCAAAACTCTCATCCCTTTACCAAGAAAATCAACAAATTCATGTCATATTCATCACAACTCCAAATTCATTCATACTTACCCACACCAAGAACCAAAAAATCAATAACCTACTTCGTATATTCATACCAAAATCTAATTTTGTTCAAATATTCATTTATGTCAGCCGTCTCAATCAAAAAGTCATAAATCTAACAAAAATTTGGTAAAGATAATAACTTTATAGATGAAAATCGATTTAAGTTTCTTTCTTATTTATAGATCTGATTTTATTTTCTTATCTAAAACATATAATAAAAATATCAATGTGAATCTGCAAAAATTGACTTTTAACTCTCTCTTATTTTTTTAGATGAATTTGTTTTGTTTAAAAATTATAAAATTAGGATTACAAATTTTTGACATGAGATAAATATAATTAAAATTTGATGTATTTGTTTATGAGATCCGAACTATTGGTAAAAAATAATTGTTACTTTATAAAAAAATGTAAAAAATAAATTTTCTTTTATAATAAAAAATAAAATAGAATATATATATTAAGTTTTATGAATGGATATGTGTAACAAAATAGGATTCCATCCACGTGAAAGAGGTAACTTTGTTATGCTATAACAAGTGGACTATATCTCCCCGCCTCATATTAGATAAGATACAAAATGAAGCATGGTTGCCTAGTTTCCGGTTGCACTCCTTACAATAATCTCATCCCCGTTAGGGTAAAATGTTCTTGCTTCTCTCAATTAATCTTCATATGTAACCATGAATGCCAATAACAGTAATAAAGAGATTGATTACAGGTTAACTTGAAAAGGGAAGAAAACCAGTTGAAGCTCATTCCTACGAAGCCAAAACAAGTCAACTTTTTCACTACCCTGGCTCCTCCTCTTGCAGCTGCATTCCTCCTTTTCTCTCCAATTTGCACAACTCCAGGTTAGCTCCTTTCTAAAATACTATTTCTATTCAATTTGCACTACTGCCCCTATGCCAACAATTTCTTTCTTCTAGTTTCAAGTGCCCAAACAATAGATATCCTAAGAGGAGCCTCATTGTTCCAACAAACATGTATTGGATGTCACTATGCAGGTGGAAACATTATACAACCAGTAAGCATCATCCTCTTCAAAATAAAGCCCCTTAATATATGTTCTCTTGAGAATTTTCTAGCAAACACTAATTTTTTTTTTCTTGCAGGGATCAACTCTATTCACAAAGGATTTACAAAGGTAAGTTAAGAAACCTGAAAACTCTCATTGTGAGTCGCTCTGGCCTAAAGTGAAGGCATGGATCAATATTTCTTTGAAATAATAATAATCCAAATGTTGGTGTACAGAAATGGAGTTGATACACAAGAAGAAATCTACCGCGTCACATACTATGGCAAAGGGAGAATGCCGGTAAGACATGTTGTAATTTCTTAGACTTGAGAATTTAGAATTATATGATTACCTTTCATTCTTAATAGTTTATGTTTAGGGGCTTAAATTTGAACACACACATTGAGATTATATAGTTTCATGCAGGGATTTGGTAAAGAGTGCATGCCTAGAGGGCAGTGTACATTTGGAGCTCGTTTGGAAGATGAAGATATCAAGATATTGGCTGAGTTTGTCAAGTTACAAGCTGATAAAGGGTGGCCAAATGTAGAAACGGAAGAAAAATGATTTAGCAATTAAAATCTATCTTCCATCCTTTCCTAATGAATTGGTACAAAGTTTTCAATTAATCAATTTATGTACATTAGTATTTTTATAGGTTTCGCAATTTTCTGATAACAATTTTTGTGATGTAAGAATAATTGAACAGATAAAAAGTGGTGTCAAAAGAAGGAAAAACATGTTTAACCTCGATTGAATATGAAGGTAATTTTGGTTTTTTTGATGAGATAACGAAGAGTGCCATAAAAAATGTGTCACTTTACCTTTCGGTTTTAATTCCATCAAGAAAAACAAAGTTGCACTTGTGTTGAATCGTACTCTCTTTTCAAGAAAGAACAACCCGAGCACCATACACAAATCAAATGTACCTCTAGTTTTAATTCAGATAATTTGAATGTTTGAAGTTTGTTGTAGAAGAATCACTCTTAAGTCTTACAACCTAAGTTTTAGAGTCTTCAGAACTTGTCTCATCAGAACCTTGTCTTCAGAGTCTTCAACACTTGGTCGTAAGAAATTTCTTTTCTTCAGATCATCAAAACTTGTTCAGCAAAACATCATCTTCATAATATTCAGAACTTGGAATACACAAAAGCAGAGCTTTAGAAAACCTCCAACACTTAACCACCAAGTCACGATCCTAACCTCTTGTACTAACGTTCCTAAGAACCGTTGCATAAGACGAATTCCAGAATCTTGACTTTAATTATAACACGTAACCACATGTTTTCTTCCAGTAGTATTTGTATTCAGAACTTGATGACGTCACACGCCTTGATACCAGAGTTAGAACATTACATCAGCAACAACACACTAGAACGAAACTATTAGAGTATACACTTGTTCTCTATGATATCATGTAAAGTTATCATCAAAATCTTAAGGCCAGATGTAGAAATACTTCTTGTTCTTAAAAATCAAATCAAATCAAAAATTAGTAGTGCCAAATAGTCCACACAAGCTTCCCATTCATTCTTATCAGCAAAAGAAAGAGCCTTGAATTCTAAGTGTTGTCTTTTAATCTCTTGAACTTCACCACCTTTCTTATAATCGAGCATCCAATTAGTAAACGATATTCCTATCTCCTTAGCCAAATTTCTGATACTGATGGTCTGTCAAATCCCTATGTAAGCTTCATCTTTAATCCTAGAGAAATCTAAGATCCTATCAAATTCTTCCAAGATACGTGCTAGTTGAAAGTTCTAGAAAGTGAAACACCTTAGAGGAGGGCCATATAATTGAACAAGGGCACTGACTGCTTCCACTTACAAAACTATCTTGGTCAACTCAAGGAATTTCCAATAGCGCCGAACAAACATCTTCATAGGTTTTTCAGGAAGTTTCCCTCTAATCAATTTCATTTTCTTCATATCAGGAACTACGATGCTAACTCAGTTGATTTGTTTCTTATTGGTATTCATCTTTAGGATACTCACCAAAAACCTTTGATTATTTTTTCTTATAAATCCTGTGAATAAGACAACACAAATACAAAATAATGAATATTTTGAAAATGCAAGATGTATGTATGCATGGTGATGTAACATGGTGGTGGGATTATGAAATATATTCTTAGTAGGTAGGTTCCTAGTTTAGTTCTACAAATATTCTACCCTCCCATAAGGGTGGTTTCCTTAAGAGTATCATGGATAACACCAAATGGGAAAGGCACAAGGACCTCCCTTAAGTGGAGCCTCTTTGTAGACCGATACTTTCGTCTCTTAGGTCGTACAAGGTGTCACTATGAGATTTTGTTTTAGGGTTATACAAAGAGTCATTGGCTAAATCCCGAAGTCCTACCTCCAAGAGAGTCTATCCATCTAAAAATATTCCTTGAAACTCAACCGACTCTAGACGAAGTCATCGTAAAAACTCATAGGGATATTAAACCTTCTTGGCCAATTGACAATTCTTTTTCTAAGGTTTAATATTTTTGAAGTTAAATCCCACCAACAATAATATGATAAAAATATGATAAAATAAACAATAAACCATGTAGTCCTCTTTGTAGAGGTGAGAAACGATTCCAAAGTATAAGATATGAATACATCAATTTAGCAGACCCCTCCCCTTTTCATAACGTGTATGAAGGGCATGGTAAACATCCACAAGTAGAGCAGGAGTAGGATTAACATTTAACACCTTTACGGACCAAAGTACATTAATGGTCACAAAGTCAATATAGTCGATAGTATTTGGAAATAATGAAGGTAGAGAAAACATAAGAAATAGGGGTTTGACTAGGATTTATAGGAAACATTTCCCTCTAGAAATTCTATTCAATCAAATGGTAAAAGCCATAAAGACAACAAAGAGTAAAGAACACAAGTGATTTATACATGTTCACCTTAACAAGGTTAATCCTGTCCACTCCTCAAGGTGATTTTCTTTTAAAAAGGATTTAATCCACTATAACCAAACTGATTACAAATACATGGGTAATTATCGGTGACTAACAAACAATGACACGTTTAGTGATCCAACCAAATATAACGTTCATTGACCCAACAAAATCCGATCACTTAAGATCTCCCATTAGGATTTCACAATGACCAGTAATCACTGTCTTCTTGAGATCATACATTCACTCAGTCACTCAAGAAACCTTTCAATGATATGTTTAATGATCCGATTTAACGAATATAACAATCATTGACCCAACAAAATCCGATCATTTAAGATATCCTATTAGGATTTCACAATGACCAGCAACCATTGTCTTCTTGAGACCAAACCTTCACTTAGTCTCTCAAGAAACCAATCAATGATCTAGTCAGTGATCCGATTTAACAAATATAACAATCATTGACCCAACATAATTCGATCACTTAAGATCTTCTATTAGGATTTTCTACAATGACCAACATCCACTGTCTTCTTGAGATCAGACCTTCACTCAGTCTCTCAAGGAATCAATCAATAACAGTTGATAAGGTTTTGTGTTTACATGATTGCTTCTTCTAAGAAGATTACCCAAGTGATCTAAGCACATATTGTTTAACACATTTTTGAGAAAAAAATCTTGTATTAAAACAATTTACATGAAGATATTAGAACTATTACACAATACGAGCAACAACTCTTGTGTAAATTACAATGTTTTATCAAGATGTAGTTGATCAGAAGTTGGTTAACATTTTGTAGTGCTCTTCTTCTTCATCTTCTTGTTGAGAAAGTTACGAACAACAACTCATTGCTTTCTGAGATCTACCAAGATGTATATGATTATAGTTTGTACAACATCTTGTAGATATATTTTTCTTTATCTTTCTTTCTTTTATCTCATTTTTGTGTAATGGTCTTCAACATGTTTAGCATTACAGCTTTGACAACTTCATCATCCACGACTTTTTTGGCTTGATGGCCAAGAGCATTTACTTCAAATCTTTGATCTTCTTTTATAGCCTTCAGAGAGAGAGAGAGAGAGAGAGAGAGAGAGAGAGAGAGAGAGAGAGAGAGATTGTGAGGACTAAAAAATACTCTCATGCATCAACGGTTAGTTCCTAACAAATAGAATAAGGTGTAAGAGTTTGGATAGTACAAAGTGATACTATTCATTGTATGTCACTTTACAACGTTTTACTTTAACCTTATCTTCAATATATGTTTTTCTACTTAGCTTGTATACATAGATCTGTTAAGGATAAAAATATAATATGGGAAACAATTTTTTGTTCCTGACGGTCATAATGAGAGTAGTATACGATATAGTACAAAAGGATTGTCCTTACGCCACCCTAGAGGGTAGAGCTTACAAACACTTTTTGTATCTTTTGGACACCATCACACGCTAAACATTTTGAACTTCTTCCATTCTTCAGAGGCTTCAGATAATTTGAATGTTTGAAGCTTGTTGTATAAGAATCACTCTTAAGTCTTAGAACCTAAGTCTTGGAGTCTTCCGAACTTGTCCCATCAGAACCTTGTCTTTAGAGTCTTCGGCACTTGGTCATAAGAACTTGCTTTTCTTTATATCATCAGAACTTGTTCAGCAGAACCTTGTATTCTAAATCTTCAGAACTTGGAACACACAGAAGAAAGACTTTAGAAGGCCTCCAAAACATAACCACCAAATCACAATCAAAACCTCTTGTACTAACGTTCCTAAGAACCGCTGCATAAGACGAATTCCATAATCTTGACTTTAACTGTAACACATAACCACATGTTTTCTTCCAGTAATGTTTATGTTCAGAACCTGATGACGTCACACACCTTGATACCAGAGTTAGAACATTACAGCAGCTACACACTAGAATGAAATCATTAGAGTATATAATTGTTCTCTATGATATCATGTAAATTTATCATCAAAATCTTAAGGCCATATGTTGAAACACTTCTTGTTCTTACAATCTCTCCCTTTTTGATGATGACAAAACCATGTATTTTGATAGAACAATTTTATACAAGGTAATCACCATAACCGACAAATTCAGAGTTAAACTCATAACTCCCCCTGAATCTGTTAATCCCAAAATTTCATTTATGCTTGCTCGGAGTCTACCCCTGAGCTCAAGACTCGCAAAATAAATTTTGAGTTTTTAAAAGATTGAAATGTAGAAGAAACTCTTTATTACAACAACTCATCAGAGTCTGACTAGAACACCTAATCTTCATCTCAATACCTGGTTACCGGTAACACTTGATGAAGAATCAAAACTTGATTTTGAGCCTGATTGATTAATGTCACACATCATGTATCAATACTTCTATTTCTTGATTCTAATATCACAACCAAAACACTGTACTTTTGGAGAAATTCACTGCTTCTTAAGCATAAGCGTTTGACATGATATTTTACAATATATCACACATTCAGATAATTCACGATTTCTGAATAAAACATATGCTATAGAAGCACATGTTGTAGAAGCACATGTTGCAGAATCACACGTATCAGAGCATATATTTTGAGTGGAATCTCTGTATCAGAGCATGCATTAGAATGTTGACTTGACTTCCTTTCAGGAGAGCGTAGCTTCTGAACCTTTAAGTTGGAATTCCATATTTTCATAAATTTCACAACTACTGAACACTATGATATCAAGCAAGATTACCTTACTTTCAGTAAGTTTATAACTTCTGAATTATGTTTGGTACATCTGTTTGAATATTCATATATTCACAAAGTGTACAACTTCTTGTATATGAAAAACAAAGTTGATTTTATCCATAAGGTTCTCAACCTTAGACATCAAAATCTTCATATTCAACTTGTCTTAGAATACTCAGTGAACTTATTCAAAGTTCCTGGATTGAAACATCAAAAAAACAGTCAGTAGAAACAACATTATATATGTTTGAGTTTAATATTATGTGAATAAATATTATCAAAATCATTTTACTTTCTCACCCTTTGTTAGAAATAAAAAAGGTGATAAAGAGACAGAGAAAAATAAACTTTGAAGATAACC